CCCTGCTCGTGACTTGCACGCATGTAACTGTCAGAACAAGGTCGGTGCTAGTGTGGCACCTGTCAGGCAGGACCATCCTGGAAATCTATAGGAGTAAGAAAAGAAGTCATTTCAGAGGGGGAGTGACTTACAGACTGAACTCAGACTGGCCTCTTCACTCACCCACTCCCAGGACAGGTCTGTGCGAGGTCCTGGGATACAGAGGGTGACAACATGCTCCCTGCCCTCAGTGAGCTCACAGTCTATGGGGGACACTGAAAAATAATCAGGCCATGGCAACACAGCATGGCAAGGGCCAAGATGTGGTTTGGGATCCAGGGGAGGGGGAGAGGGTGGCATACATAACCTCCCCCCAGAGTGATCCTACGGGGCCAAGGCCGCCTCTAGCTGGGCCCCTAACACAGCAGGTGGCGACTCTGCCTGGCCCTGCCCTGAGACAGGGCACCTTAGCCCTTTGCAGCTCAGAGAAGTTAAGCAACTTGCTCCAGGCCTCACAGCTGAGCCCCAGCCCTCGTGGTTTCTGAGGCCCTCTCTCTTTCCATGGCTGCCTCCGCAGCTCTCTCCCAGAGATGACTCACGGCAGGGGACTGCAGCTCTTCCTTCTGCTTTCTGGGTGGAATGTTTTGGTTCCCAAGACTGGGTGTGGGCAGAGCCCAGACCGCAGAGGCAGCAGGGCTGTGCTGAGTCCCCTGGGCAGACAGCGCTTCCTCGCTAAGCTCCCGCCAGACTCCAGAGCCAACCCTCAGGCGAGTGCGTCAGCCGTGTCCCCGCTGGGGTCAGCCCCACTGGGCCCCTTGGGAGGCCTTAAAACCCAGACAACAACCCACGTTCTTGGCTTGGTTTCCTCCCCTTCTTTCTCTTCTTTGCCCCAGGGAGGGCTGGGTCCTGTCACCCAGGGAAGGGAGTCTCATTAAGGGACTCATTACCCTGTAGGTGCGCCTGGGACCCACAAACTGGTCCTTCTCTTGCAGGGGCGCCCTTTAGCAAGGAGGGCTGGGTCCCGCCACCTCAGCCCGCACCTCCAGGCCACCTCCTCTTCCCTCTCCTGGCCTTTCACACGAGGTGGGGCCCGGGAGCTTTTATTCCTTCCTCCCTGCAGGAGCCCCGCTGAGCGCTGGCATGCATCCCTGCACCCGAGCCAACAGCGCAGCTCCTTTCAAACCCCCAGAGAGAAGCAAAGCTTGGATAAGGCTGTCCTCAGGCCCTTTGTTGGGGACTCGGTTCCCAGGCCTTTGATCTCCCAGGCTCGCTGGCCGGGCCCCACCGGAGCGGCCACCATAATGCAGCCATTGTGACCCCTGCACACCAAGCCCATTGTGGGCACCGTGCTCCCGGCCGGCACCTGAAAGCCATGAATGCCTGGCTGTCACGCAGGCAGAGCGGGTTGGCATCCTGGAGGGGAAGGGCCCTCCCGCTGCAGACACAATGGAGGGAGACGCTGGGAGGCCGGGGCTGCTGTGTGGAGAGTCCCAGCGTGTGCTCAGGAGGGGCCTGTCAGCAGCAGGACAAAGCCTGCAGACTCTGGGAACTGGAAAGGTGGGACAAGGGCCGGCCTCTGAGGAACCTGCCTTCTCCCCCCACCCCCTCACTCCCCACTGTGACAAAGCGGCCTCTTCTGAGGGGAGGGGACACTCTTGCTCCAGCATGGCCCCAGACAACCCATCTCCTCTCTGCAGCCAGCTCACAGATCCAGGGGGGCCCTGGGCACAGGGAGGAGCTCCCCCTTCTCAACCACTTCTCAAGCTCTGCTCACCCACCCCTCCCCACGGGCGACTGGAGACTGAGGCACGACAGGGCCTGCCTCAGCAGGAACAAATACGTGCCAACAGCCTGGTCAGTCACGCAGTGCGGGTGGTGGCCCTGAGAGGACCGATCACCCCAGCTGCCCCTGGCCACCCCAGGGGGGCCACGGCACAGCCCCCCACAGGTGCAGGAATCTCTCACGCCCAACTTGACTCCTCAGTTCTCACCTCAGCCGAGCGTCAACACCCCTCCCCCCACAGGCAGGATAAATACTATTACCCCATCTTACTGAGGGGCTGACTGAGGCCCCAAGGGGCCTCTCTTTATCAGGAAAGGTGTGTCCTCAGTCAGGAAGGCACCATTGTGACACTTTATTTTTTTGGTATCCAGAGCTTTGTGACAAGATGTCTGGCCTAGGACACCTTTGGGCTAAGGAGCTCCTCAGCTGTCCCTTAGTAAAGTCTCCTCCTAAATGCTGACGGGCGGGTGGGTGAAGGGAGAACCCGAGGGCCAGCTGAGAAAGGGCTGATGGCTTGGGCTTTGGAGTCCTGGCTCCAACAGCCAGGTGACCTGAATCCCCACTCGCCTCCCCTGTAAAATGGGAACAGCAGTTGATCCGTGGCCTGGCACCCAGCCCACCTGGCACAGCGCTCAGGACGTGGCCTGTGTCCGGTGGCTTCCCTCGCCATACACAAGCAGCTCTGCAACTCTGGAGCTCTTTCAGTTCCTCAAATGCTCTGCCCTCCTGCTCACCTCCTGCCCTCCAAATCCTCCCAGAGGTCCTCCTCTTGGCCTGAGATAAACAGTCCTCTCTCCCAGTTTACTCAGCTACCTCGTATCTATCCCACCAGTCCCATCACAGGCGTCACTTCCTCCAGGGAGCCTTCCATGATTTCATCAAGGTGAACTACCCTACCCTTCTCCCTCTCAGAACATTTGCACACTGATGAGTCACTGACTCGGTGACTTCCTCATCGGGCTGTGTGTGTTGGAGGGCAGGGATGCGTTGGTTTTGTCTGAGGATATATCCGTAGCGCCTCACAAGGTGCCTGGGACACGGTCTTAGAACACATCTGCCGAAATAAAAAAATGAACAGAAAGAGGGTTCCTTCCTTCCCTCTGCCTCTACTGAGACAACTCTCCAGAGGCAGGGACTCCCTCAGTACAGGAATAAAAACCTTTATAATTGGACCAAAGCGTGTGTTATTCTTATGTTAGCTGGAAAACGAGAGGTATCCTCTCTGACAGCGAGTCCTCACTGAACAAGCTTCCAAATCCACTCTTGCTCCGGGTGTGGGAGACCAGAACATACCACCCCAAAATATGCCTCCCGGGCTCGAGGACTGTTGAGCTGAAGGCCATGGTGAAGCAGATACAGGAGAACTCTCTGTCCTCCCTCTACCTGCTTAAAAGCAGCACCCAGATTTACAAAGACAAAAGGTCTCCTGCCCCCCTTCTGCCAGGGAGAACAGACATTCACCACTGAAGACAACTTTAGACCCTTATTGTCTAGAGATGGTACCAGGGGAGTCTACATCAACCAGCTTTACCAACTCGCCTTTATCTGCCATTTATTTGTCTTCCCACAAGTTGCCACCCCTAGAGACTTAAAGTCCTTTTCCTTTGTCTTGTCACTTCCCTAAAAATGTACCGTTCTTTGCTGAAGATGCCGCATAAGCTGAAATTCAAAGCCTCCTCTTTCACAACTACTCATTCCCTGGGTGTGTTTTCCAGGTATATATGAAATATACACATTAGGAAACTCCTGTTTGTTTTCCTCTCATCAATCTATTAGAGGGGACTGTTCCAACTACAACCTTATGACAATGGAAGAAAAACTACTTTTCTCCCCCTAGAGTGGCATCAGGCCCAAATGATGGTGGCGTCCCCACCATGGCCCAGCTCAAGTGCTGACATCCTGACAGCTCCCTGGATACCTCCGGCTCCCCAAACTCGGTGAGCCGCGCCAGCAGAAAGGTGGGCTCCAGCTCAGGGCCAGGGGGCGGGGGCAGGAGACTGTTTGCCTTAGTGTCACTGCAATGCTGGCTGGTCCCGCTGGCCAGTCCCGGCTCCTGGCTGGAGTGAGCGAGCCAGCAAAGGAGGGGAGGCACCCGCAGGTGAGGTGGGCGCTGGCACCCCACAATACACAGCGGCTGCGGGGAAGCCGGTGTCCCCAGAGAAACACGGTCAGGGACGTGGAAACTGCCGGCTGGCTGGCCCTGACTTTTTCTGCGGTACAGAGGCCCAGGGAGGGGCAGGAACCTCGCTGGGGGCTGCTCTTTTCTTTGAGGTTCATCCACAGCACCACTAACGTGAGCAGAGCGGGCCGTCAGTTCCCAGCTCAGTATCTGCTTCTGCCTCTGCACCTCTCCGTGGGTGCCAGGGCCCCCTCGTCTTAGGTTGCCTGCCATCGTCTAACAAATGTTTTTTGAGTGCCTACTATGTGCCAGGGCCAGGCCCCATTCCTGGGGACAGAACGATGAACAAAAAGTTCCTGCAATGTAAAGGCTTACGTTTCAGACAGTGACTGTGTCTTTCATTGCAAGCCTCCCCATGCAGCGATCCCACCAAGACTGTGGTCTCACTGAGAGCTATTTTATATCGTTACATTATAAAGTTATTGCTCCCCAGCCCGTCTACACTGTGGTCTCACCGAGAGAAGGCAGAGACCTGATTCAGATCTAGATTCCCCAAGGCACCCAGTACAGAGCTTGACGCTCAGGGACGCTCACTTGACTGCCACCAAAACAGACGCCAATGGGATTTGTCCCCAAAGCCAGGAGCCCCTTTCCTTGTCGTGTGGTGGCACCTACAGAAACGGAGGGGAAACCGGCGCTCACGACACTTGCCACACGCAAACAAGCTGGCCTCACATTCCGAGCTGCTTTCCAAGGGAAATGCATCATGAGTGGTTTTTCCGCTGAGGGTGTAACAAGGCAGTTTCTGGTATCAAATATAGAAAAATTAATGTCCCAGGCACACGAATAAGATCAAAGCCACAGATCAAAGATGTGGATGAGACAAGCACCAGCACAGAGGCACCGTGTCGGTCCCTGGGGAGGGATCGGCAAGGGGGGAGGAGGTTTCTGCAGCCTCGGGAGGCCAGGAACGTGAGTGGTTGAAAAGCACAGATGTGCACGTGACCCACAGAGGAAGCAAAAGGCGCGGCACGTAACGCATGTAATCAGCGTTCCACTGAACAGCGCCGGTGGCCTCATCACCGAGGCTCCTGGCAACCCGGGAGCTGCACTCCTTACCCAGCGTGTACGTGGGGCCTGAGCAGCCACGGTCCCCGCTGACGCCGAGGAAAGGAGAAACCACCTGCTTCACCAGCTCCTCCAGCTGCAAGTAACCCTCACTCGGGCCTGTGGGCTCGTGAACACTCTGCAAATGAACAGCCAAGAGAGACAACGGTCAGTGAAAGCTGCCACGGCCAGCAGGTCCCAATCAGCAAAGCCTGGCTGCCCTCCCTCCTGCTTCAAGGCAGTGTTGCCAGGGGGCAGCCCCCTCGTGGCTAGAATGGAGGAAACTGAGGCCTGAAGCCCTAATCGCTTGTCATAGGTCTCTCTGCGATGAGATCTGTGCATGGTCACCCCACAGCAGCCTCTCCCATGGGGCCCTGTGAATACACATGGGTGCACCTGTGCCGGCTCCTAAGGCAGACTGGTCCCAAAGGCAATAAGCACCCCCCACTGTCACAGTGACCCATTAACACAGCACGGGCATTTGACATGTAGCAGTGCATGGCGGTCTCCCAACAACCAAAAGAGGAAGGTGATCTCATTATCCCCATCCTACGGAGGGGAAGATAAAGACCCAGAAAGGTTAAGTAACACACCCAGGAAAACACAGCCCGTACACGGCAGAAACCCCAGCCTGGAAACCACCCTACCTGGCCCCGAGCCCCTCTTACTGCCACTTGTTGCCAGGCTAGAAAAGAAAGGGGTAAAGAATATGGACACGCTCAGGACAATCAAAGAAAGGGAGAGTTATTCTAGAACTAGGCACACAGTTTTGGCACCAACACAAAGAGCGAATTTCGAAAGCTCAGCACAACTGGAGTCCTCAGAGCTAAGGCCTGAGTAAACACCAACTAAAACGAATGACCACGGTGGTCAAAACCGAAAAGGAACCAGTAGCCAACATTTTCTAGAAAACCAGCAGCCTCCTAGGGAATTCAGTTTCTTGCTGGAAAGGACTTGAAGACGTGTTCTCATGTTGAGGGGCTGCAAGGAAGCAGAGACCACCGGGTAGGAGACGGGGCCTGAGCGGGAAAGAGACAAGGCTCCATGGGGCTGTCCTCAAAGAGGTTGTCCTGTCAGAGATTTGGAGGTTGGGGCAGGGAAGAGGCCAGCAGAGAAGACAGCAGAGAAGACAGGCGTGGCTTCTCCCTCATGCCTCTCCCTGCTGTAATTCCTAAGTGCCCAACGGGGAGAAAGGGCAGAAAAAGGAGCAGCAGTGAAAGGTAGGAAGAAAAGGGTTAATGCGCACGTGATTTGGAGCTGGCTGGTTTCCTTCCAGAAAAGCAGCTGCCGAGAACTTGGCCTGCACACAGCCCTCTAGGAAGCTGCCGCCCTCAGCCCTTGGCTGGCTGCGACTGGCTGTAGAATCTGCGTGGCCCATTGCAAAAGGAAAATCCAGGTCCCCTTGTTCAAAAATTATTACGAATTTCAAGAAGGTGATGGGAGAAGCTTAAAGCAAGCGCAGGGTCCTCAGAGCACAGGCTGTACACCCTGCCTGGCTGGCTGGGGCCCCTCAGGATGCACCACTCTTAGGGTGATCTTGGACCAGTCTGCACCAGGCGGGAGGGACCAGATCGTGTCACACTTTAGGCTGGGACAGCCTGCGGGCAGAGCACACGGCCTGTGGTAGGAGAGTTTGAGCCCCTTGTGCATTTTGAGAAAGGTAGAATAGGTTCAGGGATATTTTGGAAGAGCAATGCAAAAGGGAGAGATAAAGGCTGGAGAAAGAACTCTTTTCTCAGGTAGTTTTGGAAAAACCAGCCCCGGGTCTCATGGCTCAGTGAAGGAACGGGGAGAGAACGTACAGTTCTAAGTACTGAGGCCCAAACTTCCGACAGCAGGAAGGGCCCCAGGGCAGTGCCACCTGGACGGGCCATTCAGATCCAGAGGCCACCGCCCCTGCAGAGCCACCACCCCTGCGGCTGGGGAGATGAACTTGGCTGGGGAGAGACCCGGCCCTCCAGGTCACGCTCCCAGCCCCAGGCGCTAGAACTAGAGAACATTCCCAGGAGGCCCTCAGCAGCACGGTGCCACACGCCCCTGTCCTAGAAGCTGGCAGGCACTTCCCGGTACCTGGGAGACCGCAGGAGGGAGGCAGCAGCAGCAGGGAGGGGCTGAGGGAAGGTGGAAAGAGCTAGAACTGCGAGAAGTGTGGAATGGGACAGTCCAGCTCTCCTACAAATGAGCATGTGACCCTGAGCCAGGTCGCCAACTTCCTCTTCCATCCCAGCTGTGAAAGGGGCAAAACAGAGGAGTCTATGCCGTTTTCCTTTCCTTGCCTGACCTTCTAGAAACTCCCACGACTGTGGAGCTCCTCGGACTGTACTTTCCTCTGCCGGAGGGGAAGCCCCGCGCAGCAGTCACCACTGTGACCAGGGACCTGGTGTCAGTCCTCCTCAGGCTCTTACTAGCTGGCACCGTCATTCACTGAACAACAAACTTTAATTAACACCCACTACGTGCCAGAGACGGAGCTGGGTGCACAAGAGCTCGGAGAAAACATAAGGACCTGCCTTGACTGGACAGGGGCTGGGGGCCTCAGGAGACAAAGTGTTCTGGGCAGAGGGACAGCGAGAACAAAGACCCCACTGGTGCGGGGAAGAGCCCAGGAGGCCACGGCAGCGGGGAAGTCCAGTTCCAAGGGAGGCTGGAGGTGGGAGAGGGCCCAGGGCCGGGGGACAGACTTGGGCTGTTTTCCTAAGACCAACAGGGAACCACTGAAGGGACTGAGCTGCCCCATGGAGAGATGAAGGCAGAGTCCTCTGGGCAAACAGTCACACCCATCCTTGGGGGGTCAGGGAGATGACAACAGTTTTCTCATACTGTTGCCGGGTTGCCTGGCACAGAGCCAGAATGTTGGAATGTGCTAGATGTTTTTCATTAGACAGACAAGCCCCTCTGTTCCAGCATCAACACGTGAGACCCTTCACCTGCTGGACTGGATCGGTTCTCCTTCCAACAAAAGCAAATCACCACCACCAAAAACACGAAGGGATCACCACTTCTCATCCCCAGAATATTCTAAATGGAAATGGGAGGGTGGCAGCCCAAAGGGCACATTTTCAAGAGTCGTTATTCAGGATCCAAGCTCTCATTCAGGCTTCTCAGACACAAGCTGCACACACATTTTTCTGTGTCCTTCTCCTTTTCTTCCATAGAAATGCCTGACCTGGCATTCTAGCCAATGACACCCACCCTCGTCCTCTTAGGCCACTCTCCCTCTCCTGTGATTACAGGAAAGGGGGACAACGCCCAGAAGAACAGCCCGGCAGAGAACTGAAAGAGAAGAGCAGCTGAGAGGTGGGGGAGTCAGGGCCCCAAAGCCTGGCATTCCATCCTGCTGCACAGGCAGCATGGGGTCACCCAGCCTAATCAAACATGAAGCCCTCAGCCGGGCGCGGTGGCTCACGCCTATAATCCTAGCACTCTGGGAGGCCAAGGCAGGAGGACTGCTTGAGCCCAGGGGTTCGAGACCAGTCTGAGCAAGAGCAAGACCCCGTCTCTACTAAAAATAGAAAAATTAGTCGGGTGTGGTGGTGTGCACCCATAGTGCCAGCTACTTGGGAGGCTGAGGCAGGAGGATCGCTTGAGCCCAGGAGTTTGAGGTTGCAGTGAGGTATGATGATGCCACTGCACTCTATCCAGGGTGACAGAGTAAGACTGTGTCTCAAAAAACAAACAAACAAATAAGAAACCCTCTACCCTGGGAGGGCCAGAGCTAATGCTGCAGCATCTGAGCTATTAATAGTTAGAGGTGGGAGGCATACCAGTCCTCTTGTGGGGGTGTCCTGCGCCACAACCCTGCCCTTTGAGACCTGTGTCCTGTGTGCCCCTATCCATAGGAATGGGCTCACCAAGTCCCTCTTCATACTGCTTGATCCTACTCAAAGGAGTCACCTAGCCCAAGCTGGACCAATCAAACTCTCGTCTCTGGGGAGGAAGCAGAGAGTGCACAGTTCCAAATCTTACTACCGTTTACCAGCTGAGGGATCTCAGGCAGGCACGTGAACTTCCTAGGTTTCAGTTTCCTCATCTGTAAAATGGGAATAACAACAAAGTCTGCTTCATAAGGTGGTTGTTTGCATTATTTAATTAAGAAAACAACATACTTAAAGCCCTTGGCTCATGCCTGGCACACCGCCAGGGACCAGTAGTGTTAGCTTGTCTTCCTATTGTTGACTTAGAATTGGGATTAAGACACTCTAGGCAGACACTGGGTCATCTCCTACTGGAAACACACGAATGTGGGTTGTCACGTTGGAACAGGAGCAAGACAAACACAGAACACCAAGTCCAGGAGAGACGGGGCTAGGCCAGGAGAGGCAGCATCAGAAAGACACAAGGTAGACCAGATACACGTGGAGACCAGGAAGCAGAGAAAGGCCATTGGCTTCGTGGCCTGACATGACCTCATTCCCAGATATAATCCCCTATGAAGTCCATCTACCCTGGGAGCCTTCCAGTGAGTTCCTGGTCTGGCTTGAGCTAGGCCAAAGTGGATTCTTCGCTGTAACTTGCAACTTTGGCTCCCTGACACCACCGGAGAGGGGAAAAGGGTGCCCTCTTCCTGCATGAAGGACCACGCTTCCACTGCCCAGTGAGACCCCCGCACTGAGCACAGCACCAGGGGCCTAACAGGAGCTCAGCGAGAGCACATCAAATGAATGAAGGAACGTGGACAAACTCAAGAAGACTAAACCAGCCTAGGATGCTCTGGGCATTTAATCCCTCCCTCCTTAACCCAGAGATCAGCAGCCCCTTCCCTCTCTCCCTCCCTCCCTCGACCTCGGTGACTGTCTCAGCAGGGCCTCACCTGCAGGATGAGCAACATCTGGACGATGGATGAGGGCGGCTTGGGCTGGGCCAGCAGCAGCAAGTCGCCCAGCTTCACCTTCAGCAGGACCAGGTCTCGGAAGCCCAGCAGGGAGATCTGGCGGATGGTCAGCTCCTGGCCCTGGACAGCAGAGAGGAGGGGGCCGGGAGGTGAGACATTGCTGGATCTGCCACCAACCACATACGGTTCAGGACAACACGTGTTTACAGAACACCCGGCCTGGGACAGGATGAGCCAGGAGGAAGCATCTGCACAGCCCAGTGGGTCTGACAAAGAGTCGAAGACCCAGCTCCCACCCTCTGGAATTAAAGCCTCTTTTAAGATAAGGCGCGACTCAACCTGCCTAAATGACCCAACGACTATACAAGACACACATGCAACAGGGGCCGTGCTGTCATGAATGCTGAGCAGGCAGGAGGAGGAAGATGGAGAGAAACAAGAGAAAAGGTCAATACCACCGCCCCACATGCAAGGCTGTTTCCTCAACCTCATCTGTAAGATATCTGAGCACCTATCACCGCCAGGCAAAGGAAGAAAGCATTGGACCTGTTAGATTGTTATATTCATGCCAGGAACTTAGGAAGGAGAGTAATCAGGGAAGTAGACAGAAAAGGACTTGTTCAACTGAGAGGGTGTTGGTGGAGGGAGGTCAGAGGGTGGAAATCATAGCTAATCATAGAGCTGACATCATTACACTCCACGTGCCAGGTGAGATTCTAAGTACGTTCAATGTAGGTAACACATGTAATGCCCATAACCACCCTTTGAGATAGGTTCCATACTAAAACCCACTTCACAGATGAAACATTCTGAAGCCCAGAGAGTTACTCTAATTCATCCAAGGCAGAGCTGCAATCTACCCAAACTATTTGATTTTAGAGCTCCTAAAGCTTCCCAAGGCCATAAGGGAAAGGAAGGCCCGTTTCCGGGACTCCCTTTGCACGCATGTCCTGTGCACACAAACACTCAGCTGCTCTTGGTAGAGCCGGAGACATCATTAGGGTGTCTACCCTCCCAAACAGGACCTGCCTTCCCGTCCCCCAAGTCCACCAAGGTTTAGACTTCCTTAAGGAAGTTTTACATTTCCGATACCTCCTTAGTGTTGCAGAGAAACACGGGCGAGGGTGGATTGGCTACGTCCACGTCTCCCTACCTCCACTCCCCACAGACACACACGACCACCATCCATGCCTTTCTGCAGCCTAAAAATAATCACAAAGGGACCTAAGATCCTGCTGGGTGCTTTACGCAGGCTATCTTAATCATACAGTGCTGTGATGTGGTTGTATTCTTTCGCCACCTCTGAGAAGCTGGGCAGGCGGGGTGTCACTCTGATGCACGGGGTCGAGGCCCCATCCCTCCGGCCAGCGCAGGGCTCCGGGTGCTGTGTGATGCCGGGAGCCGATAGGACATACCCAGTTTTGTTCACAACCTTCCAGTGAAGGGGACAATGGAACTATTTAAGCTATAGAAGATGGAGAAAGAGAAGGAGGAAGACTGGGCACACAGTCTTCCAGAAACCACTCCTCAACAGTGATTCAGGCAACAAGGGAAGACGGACAGGCGAGAAGAGACAGTTCCAGGACCTCCTGCTCCAACTACTGCCAAGTCGATTCACAGAAGGGATCTCCCAGGAGTTCCCTCGTGGCCATATCAAGGCCCCCGGGAGGTCTCCTCATTGCCCAGCACTGCGCAGCAAGGGGGGACCATTTTTATTTATTTGCCTTTTTCTTTTTGGTTTTGATTTTAAATCGTAAAGCAACAGATATTTATAGGCAAAGATTAAAAGAGTTCAGTAAATAGCAGAAGTCTTCTAATCTCTTATTCTCACTCCATACAGGTAACCACTCTTTTTTTTTTTCAAAAATTAAATAGGTAACCACTCTTAAAGGTTTTTATTTATATTCTGAATTTTTCCAGAAAGTTTCTCCATCTATAAAAATCACACATATAATTTGTAAACACACATAGATTTTTATACCCTTCCTATTGTTCTGCAACTTGCTTTTGTTTAACTTTGTATATCTTGGACATCTTTTTATACCAGCACATACTAACCTACCTCATTCTTCCGTAAGGCTGCATAATATTCCACCATACGAACATTCTATTTCACCAACCATCTCCTGACCAAGATGCCTTCATTTTTTTTTTTTTTTTGCATACAAACAATGCTATTATAATAAATACATTCATCCTTGTCTCTCTGGGTCCTTTTTGTCAGCATATCCAGAGGCTATTCCCTCAAAGGAAAATTGCTTGATTAAAATATGCTTTTAAAAAGTCTTACGGATACTGCCACGTTCCCCTCCAAAAAGACCGCATCAATTTACACTCCCAGCACCAGCATATGAGAAAGCCTGTCATCTCACGCCGATTGGGAGGATGCTATTTCAAGTGGGAAGACAGGAAAATACAGGTCATGGTCTCACTTAAGCAACTCCAACTTCCCCGCATCTCCACGGCACCGTGCCAGGCACAAGGGTGGCAGTAGATCAAGATCGCCCATTCCAGACCCATCTGCTTAGCCCATGAAATGTGAAAAATGGATCCAAATAAATGGGTCATCAGCTGTACAGAGAAAAATAATGATGATGATATTAATGATGACAGCAACAATTCTTCAGCCCTTATCCTTCGTATGCTAAACTAAGTGCTTTCTGTATGTTATCTCACTCTTTTTTTTAACACCCCTGTGAAGTAGATACTATTATTTTATAGAAGAAAACCGAGCCTGTGGGAGGTGAGGTTATCTTGCCAAGATAAACAAGACGGTGAGTGGCAGAGTGAGGCTGTGACCCCAGGCCAGGCGTGAGCTAACTCTGCAGAGCTCACGTTCTGAACCCCTCTGATCTCTGGTGCTGCTGCCCCAGCCCTGCACCCCCACTTCTTTCCCAGATCATTCTGCTACCATGACCTCTTCACACGAGACACCTACAGTCACTTGGGAATAGGCTAGGCATGAGCAGCCACAGCATTCACCTGGAGAAGATGAACGATTTTGCCTTGGGGGCTTCCAAAGCCCTGGTTAGATAGACACCACGCACTCAGGAGGAAAAGCCTGGATCTGTAAGTGATCAGAGGGGCATGCCGAACCCAAAGCGGGTGCCTCCTGTGCTGAAAGGCAAGCTGAACAGACAGCAACGTGGCACCACCACTGACGTTAGAGTTAGCTCCGTTATCTCACGTCATTAGTCCTCCCACTGCATGAGGCTTTCTCTCGAGAACCCTTTCCTGGTCTCCAAAACCATAAAGGCTTTTTCCGTCTGCAAAATCCGGCCTCTGACGCTGGCAGAGAACACTTTTATGGGAGGGTGTAGGGTACCCAGTGGATACCAACCTGCCATATAAACACGTTAATCATTGCCTTCTCCGAGGATTGTCTGGGGCCATGAATCAGAGCATGGACTTGTTACCAGGCCTAGCCATCTCTGCAGCCCACAGTGAGTCAGAGAAGGAATTCGTACTAACCTAGAGTCGGCTTTTCTGTTCTTGATTTAGGCTGGGGGGTAAAAAAGCATAACAAGCCTACCTCCATCACAACCTCTGTCCTCCAGAAAATTAAAAAGTGCATATACATATTAGTCTCAATGTGCCATCTAGTTTCTCTAGGCTGAGACAAAGAAAGAGTAAAAGCTAAGTGCACTGATACTATAAAATCCTGAATATGTGGCCCTGGGTCAGTGGAGAACAAAAAAGCATGGGGAGGGGGCACAGTTTGCCCCTTCTGGGCACCCACCACTTTTGGTGCCCATCTGCCATGGAGCTTCCCCACCCACAGTCTGGATGTATCTCACGCCACCTAATACAGCAGGGTGAGCACATGCGGACGCCCTCAGGAGTCGACAGGGAGAGAGAGAAGCCAGCCAGGTGGGGGCCATGGCCAAGTGGAGAGCAAAGTTCAAGGCGGCGGCTAGGGCGTTGGGGGTGAACAGGGGCAATGTCAGTCGTTGCCAGAGCTTACAAGTTTTCAAGAGAAGCAGGACAGTGGCATACTGTAAGATACTGGGCTATAAGGACAATGGACACCTTCCAGCTTCTGTTTACTGCTTGTTTGCTAACTGCAAGGCATTATGAGTACATTATGGGATACAGAGGAAAAAAGACAAAGAATGCAGAAACCGGAGTCTCTCAGCTAGGACCCGGAACAGGTTAGAGCCTATCAGGGACAGGATGAAGTAAGAATCACTGTGGGGGTGGATGCATGACCAGTGTGTAAACAACTTAGTTATAAAAGGGTCACTAGCACATAAAGGAGGGTCCCTGCCTGAAGAAGAGGCCACTGCGCTGGCACCCTGGGGGCTCGGACCCTAGCTCCAGCTAGACAATAAAACTCCTTTTGATAATTACAGCCTGGGTGACTCTGTCTCTCTGTCCTGCAGCCCTGCGAATCTAAAATATAACAATCCTTCAAGCCTCACATCTTTGCTCCAGTCTGACTCTGAGCTTTTGAGGGCCCCTCTTTGCCTCCTCGGATGGTACTGAGGCCACGTCACCCAGATCCCACACTTCCCATTCTAGAACCATCCAGACACTGGCACCCTGTCCAAATGGCCCTAGGAGAAACCCAGGTCTGCACACCCCCTCTAGCAGGGTTGCCAGATAAAATTCAGGATGCCCAGTTAACTTTGAATAGTTTCTTTAGTATAAATATGTCCCAAATATCACATTACTTGTTTATTTATGTATGCAATTCCAATATAACTCAGCTCCCTGCACTTCTATGTGCTAACTCTGGCAACTCCATCCCCCTCCCCCAGGTCTGTCCTCCTGAGGACCCACTGCTGGCCAACGGGTGACTATTCCAAGGAAGGGCCAGGTTCATGGGCACAGGGTCTGCATGGTCCACAGGAATGCAGATGGGACCGAAGTTGGGATGACAAAGAGGAATGGGCTGCGGGCCAGAGGCTTCTAGCTGTGCTACTTACTGGAAATGGTAGGGGCAGGCCTGAGATGGGAAACGAAATCTGTATGCATAACCTCCCAGTTTTTAAATATTTGACATCTATTTTAAGCAATGGCAAATCCCTTTAAACACTGTTCAGACCGAACAGTCCGAGGGGGGGAGGGCAGGGGCCCTTACCCCTGGTATAGGGTCATTCCACCTGTTCCTAACGGCTGTGCTCTATTCTGAAGACAGCACCCACACCAACAAAGCCCGACAGATTACATGCGAAGCCTTAACCCCGGTGGGAGGAGCAGAAGAGAGAGCACACCGCAGCATGACAGAAACACGTATTTTGGACTGGAACATCTGTGGGTCAAGCTCTCTTAGGGGTGGCAACTCTGACCTGGCAGCGATCCATGTGGCATCAGCCTCCGTGGAAGGGGGCAAGGATAGCAACACAAGTGGTAGCAGGAGCTGAGGTCACAGAACAAAGACGCTAAAGGGACATCCCTCATCTTTTACTCCAAATCCCTCATTTTGCAGGCGGTGGGATGGAGCCATGCTTAGAGAAGTTAAATGATTTTCCCCAAACCCGCACTCTTGAACCCAAGCCCACCAATCCCTACTCCTCTGCGCTTCCTGCCACGTCCTGCGGCTTCTCATCTTCCGAGGGCAAGAGACATTCTTCCTTCCCCACGGTGTGAGCGCAACGGCAAGCCTGCTTAAAAACTGTGCTTCGAAAAAAAGGGAGGGAAGGAGGAGAGAAGCAGGGGAAGAAAGAAAAAGGAAAATCTCCTTCCCCCATCTTCTCTGCTTCTGAAAACTAAGAAAAACAAACCACTCCAAGAATATAAAGACATACTCAAAACCAAGAGGGAAAGGAGAGCCTACAAATTGCTAGTTAGGCAGGCGCTGTTCTTCGCCTGAAGTTAGGCACTAAATTTAGAACCAGAGAGCCCTCAAAAGATCTCCGCGGTCCTTAACCACCGCTGTCCTTAACCAATGCAAGCGCCCAATCTCCAAGTTTTCTCCTGTTCACCAGGAGGCCCCGGGCTGCCAAGGCTGAGAAGGAGGACAGATGGCGGAGGCCAGCAGGAGGCGGTCCCCAGCGAGACTGACCTGAACTGGGTAAAATATTGCCTGCAGGGTGGGGAGAGTCTCAGTGAAGAAGTGGTCCCAGACTTCAGCCAGAACCTCAATGCGATTTTCACCTACACAAGGGCGAGAAGATGGGAGGGGAGGAAGAAAGAAAAGAACTTGTCATTACTTGCAGGAGAGGCCAGAAGACAGTTCCATGTAAAACGCGAAGTCGCGCATGCTAGGAGACTTGCAGCCAGGAGCTGGTAAAGCCCAGAGGACAGAGACGTGGTACTATGGGGTCTTTATCCCTGGGTGAGACTACTAGAAGTTCTCCGGGCAGAAAATATATTTGTCTCGCAAGGATGTACATATGGATCGAACGAAACTCACACTTCACGAGGGAGATTCTAAGTGAGGGGAGTAGCATTTGGTGTGGGGGATGGGAAGAGAGCACGTTGCCTACATTTGATCTACAAGGTGTTGCTACAGTAAATGTGGGGTTGCCTGGGAAGACACAACTGAAAATAGGCAAATATGCCCTTCTATCCATCCGTCCATCCAGAAGAGGGAGCTGAAATCTTAAAACCACATAGTAACTGCTATCATGTGAATGGTCTCACGCTATCAGGCACTATGCTAAACTATTTACCTACAAGATATTTCAGAGTAAGACTCTATTACCCCTGCTTTGCAAGCTCAGAGAGGCCAAGTAACTGCCCCAATGTCACATAGTTCAAAGGCAGAGCTGGGATTCCAGCACCCATGCTTTTGACTAACCTAATCTGGGAGGATCATGTGCACAGTTAGACACTGTTTTGTTTTCTTTTTTCTTTTTTTTTGAGAGAGTCTCACTCTGTTGCCCAGGCTAGAGTGCCGTGACATCAGCCTAGTTCACAGCAACCTCAAGCTCCTGGGCCCAAGCGATCCTCCTGCCTCAGCCTCCCAGGTAAGCTGGGACGACAGGCATGCACCACCATGCCCAGCTAATTTTTTCTATATATTTTTAATTGTCCAGCTAATTTCTTTCTATTTTTAGTAGAGATAGGGTCTCATGCTTGCTCAGGCTGCTCTCCAACTCCTGAGCTCAAACAATCCACCTGCCTCAGCCTCCCAGAGTGCTAGGAGTTTTGTTTTCTTAATCACTACGACACTGGCTTTATTCTGGGTTGAGCTGTCAGTGAAGAGACGCAGAAAGGACCTTGGAACTGTCCCCTCCACTGGGCACTTTATAGTAACTGGGAGGGCAGCGTTCTCTGGAGAGGCCACCTCCTGATACTGTCCCTGCTTACCCCTAGGATCAGGAAGCCTGAGCTATGGCCAAGTGCCACCCCAGGCTAGAGCACAGCGGGTCACCCAATGCCACCAGAAGGCTGTGTGAGGAACTCCGCACCTCCAGGAAAGACGGCCCCGGCAGAGAGGAGCCGGCAGGGCGGCCGCTGTTTAATGACCTAGATAGCAGAGCTGATACTGGGCACCGTCTCTGCTCATCCCAGGCAGAGAAACTGGGTCAGCCAACATTAGACTCTGAGAGATGCATTTGGCAAGACGCTGCCAGTTCCACTGCACAAATCTTGAAAGATGCATCTGGCACTTTCCGTCTATTAATTTAATGGGCACTAAAAAGCAGGGACTGAGGAGAGAACAGAACAAGGGCGTGACTAGTAGCCAGCAGGTTTTGAAAGGCCAAGGTGAAATACACGGGGGAAAAGTGCAAATCCATGACACACGCTACTTCCCTGCACAAAGCACTGATCACAGTTTGTTGGAATTGCTTATTTGCTTCTGTCTCCTCACTAGAACGGAGCAAACACGGGGCCTTACCTGTCCTGCTCACCGCTGTACTGCTGTTCTTGGCACAGTGCCAGGCACATTGATATATCAATCTTTAAAATTATTTTGCTAAATGAGTAAAAATTACCATATAGGTTTTAGCAGATGCTGAGGGTGGTGGGTGGAAGGAGGTTACCATTTAACCTAAATACGGGACAGGAAAGTCTCTCCCAACTGTTCAAATGCTCCTACTATGAATTGTTATCTTAGTACTCGTCCTGCTTACAGTTTTGTTTGGGATGATGTGACTGACATCTGTCTCCATGACCAGTCTGTGAGTTTCACCGGGACCTGTGATCCTAAGACAGTTTTGTCCACCACTGAGTCCTCAGCACCTAGCAAAGTGCCTGGCAGGTAGCAGATAATCCACAAAAGTTTGATTGAATCAATTGCCATCCTCTTTCTTTTTCTTTTTTTTTGAGACAGAGTCTCACTCTGTTGCCCAGGCTAGAGTGCCGTGGCATCAGCCTAGCTCACAGCAACCTCAAATTCCTGGGCTTAAGCAATCCTCCTGCCTCAGCCTCCCGAGTAGCTGGGACTACAGGTGTGCACCACCATGCCCGGCTAATTTTTTCTATATATTTTTTAGTTGACCTATTATTATTTTTTTTTTTTAGTAGAGATGGGGTCTCGCTCTTGCTCAGGCTTGTTTCAAACCTCCTGACCTAGAGCGATCCACCCGCCTCGGCCTCCCAGAGTGCTAGGGTTACAGGTGTGAGCCACCACGCCCGGCCACCATCCTCTTTCAAGTGCAGGCTATGCTAGTTCACTGCAGGGAGAAGGCGGGGAAGGCAAGAGGATCATCTGAAATGTTAGGTTACCCCGGTTCCTAAAACCCAGGTAAATTCAACACCTGGATAATGTACCCCAAAGGGGAAAAGGGGACTCCAGCTCCTTTGCTGATGGCTCTTATCGTAAGCCTTTCATGATAAGGACAAGCAGTAGCCCTCGTGACCTGGAGGAGGGCTAGGGAGAGGACCCTGCAGGTCAGTGCTGGTGCCTACGTACTCCCCCCTTCAGTGCCAAGACGGAAAGCTCATCGCACATGAGGTAATCCTAAAACCCGTCAGCAGAAAGGCGCCTCCCAGGAACCCAGGTCTAATTGCTGGCTGCAGACTTCAGAGAGTAATGGAGGTTCTGGAAAGTGTTCAGAGAAGAACATCAGACAGACCCAGGCTAACAAACAGGGTAACCCTGGGGAAGAAAGAGTGAAAAGGAAACAGGTGACTTCACTTCCAGAAACAGCCCACCAGTCAAGGACTTAGCTCCCTACAAAGACGAAGCGGGTTTGGATGGAAGGTTCTAGATGACTGCCCCATAAAATCTGTCCTCTAATGTACCACAGGGGTTTAGACCACCAGAAGCACATAGGTAGGTATAAGAAACCTCCTAAGAGTCAAGGTCACTCAAGCTCTAGACAAGATTATTGGAGTTAACACAGCATGTCCTGCCCACAAGACAGCAACAAATGGATGTGAGCTGCACCTGTCCTTTCTGCAGCAATAAATCAGGGGTGTGCATATATAAACAAAGATATAAATACATAAACAAATATGTAAATATATAAACAAATATGTCACTAAAGTGAAGCTTATTCAGTGATTGGATAAAGTATATTATTTGTTTCAAAACTTTATAGCAAGAGAATCCTTTTATCCAGGCAAAAATCTTCCTTGGAGTCCTAATGCATAAAAAAGTAGAGATGTCTGGTTGAAGACAGGTGAGTCCCCTGAAGGTTCCCACTCACTGTGCAGAAAGGTTCCCAACACCCAGAACCCTGGGGCTAGAGGACACCCGGAGAGGATGCCCTGGCCTGGTGCCCTCCGGCCACGCCGGGTAAGGGGCACAGATGCCCGGATGATCTCTGTCATCCCAGCCAGCTCCTGTGTGAGTCTTCACGCCGAGTGCATCTGCGGAGGGTCACTTGGGTGAGAGACATTTAACTCCCCCTTTTAAGGTCACTTGCAATCTCTGGTTTCGTTCAGTACTTTTTACATAGAGCTGTCTTCCCACATTTCCAGGAATAACTCCCAGATGACTTACACACAGATGATGTGGCCGGGGACAATGCTTCCCCCCCCCCACCCCCCACCCCCCGTTCACCAGGGAGCCACCTTCCAGGTTTGGGCACTAACCTGACTCCAAAATGCAGGAGAGCCACTAAGTTCCTGGTCAAAGCAAGTAGCCTAAAAACAAGCCCCTCCCATCGACAGACACATGGATAAAGAAAAGATGGCATTACACGCACAATGGGACGTTACTCAGTCTTAAAACAAGAAGGGAATCCTGCCGCATGCTGCAACATGGATTTGAGGACATTACGTTGAGGGAAATAAGGCAGTTGCAAAAGGACAAATACTATGAGGACTCCACTTACATGAGATGCCCAGAGTAGTCGAAATCATGGAAACAGAAAGTAGAATTGTGGTTGTCGGGGGAGGGGAGGGGGAAATGGGGAGCTGTTGTTCTGTGTATGGGCATGGAGTTTCAGTTTTGGAAAAGAAAGTTCTGGAGATCTTTTACACAACAGTGTGAACATAGTTAACACTTCTGAAGTATAAAATAGTTAAGAGAGTGCATTATATATGTTTTTTTGCCACAATTAAAAAAAAATTGTTAAAGGCCTTGGGTTAGTGGGTATTTATAAGGTTTGGGAAAAAATCACGGCATAGATGTATTCAATGAAAAAAAGGCTACGGGTTCAGCCAACTCTCAAATATGCAGACGGGTTAATTTCTAACCTCTATTCTTCCAAAGGTTAGGTGAGCATTTACTGAGTGCCAGGCATTGGGACTTTCCACTGTCAGTTTCTCATTTTTCTTCCTACTTTGTCTTTCTCAGAGCCACTTTAGTGGACACTCGTCTCTTTCCCAGGGAATGGGCAGAAGAAAAGGGATGACATTTGGACTTAAAAACTGTGGTTCCTGGAAGTGAGTCTGGCCTACAGAGAGAGGTCATTAGGCTACAGGTGAAAAAAGGAAAGGCAGTAGTGTGCATATCTAGCATGCGCCAGGTGTGGGGTTACACCAGCTATGCACCTCATGCACCCCATAACCTCTCACCCCAATTTATCACTTTAAAAATGATTAAAAAAAAAACCGAGACTCTGACAAATTAGTAACTTGCCAAAAGTCACCCAGGAAGTAGGTAGCAAGCTAAGATCAGGCCCCACTGAGGTGGGAGCTAAGAGTAGCCCTTGGTAGAGTCATGGGCTTGGCCAGTTCTTGCCTTTGGTACCATTTCTCATCTCCGTGCAGTCCCTTTCCATCCCACTCGTCGGATTCTAAAATCTTACAAGACCAGGAAATTTCACTTTATCAAATCATACCTCATTAAGTGGGTGTCTACTTAGCCTAATGTCCCCCTAACGGACAGGACTCCTGTCTTCCGTGACCCCAAGAAACATCACAAAGGCCTATAGGAAATAGCACGTGGCAGACCAGTGGGAACAGCACGACAGGGTCCCCAGTATAACTCAGCCCTTCCACCAGCATGCACTCCATGAAAAACCCCCCTTAATGAGGTCTCCGAAGAAACCACCCCAATACCACCTCATTTTTAAAAACAGTTCTGACTGCCACGAGCAGCTGACTGCAAATGGAAGTGCTGCCACCTAGTTGGGGAAGAAACCGACAGGGCGAATCCCTCTCTTGGAGCCTGCCACGTCTGGACAGAAGTGCCTGAGCTGTCTCAACATCAAAGGCTGAGTCACAGAGGCCCGGATCTTTGAGGGCTGCCTGGTACTTGCCTTCACACAGCTTGATCTTCTCCTCCACAAAGAACAGTCCTTTTGCGAGAAGCTGGTTCTGCCAAAAGAGAACAGAGAACATAAGAGTGGGGCAGCTAGCTCCAGGGCATGAGTGACAAACCTTCTCCCGCTCCCAACGGGCCAGGGCACAGGGTTCCAGGCACTCGTGTGCCAGCCATGCCTCCCAGTTTAAGAAGCCTTTTGATCTGTCAGAAGGCCCCGGCCTCAGGAGAAGACAGCGAGACTTCCATAGCGAACAGGCAAGTAAGATAAGAGCCCAAGCCAACCACGCCACCCTCATGCCCCAAACCAGGGAAGAGGCATGACACAAGCTTGGATGAATTCACTACTGTGGACACCCAGTGTCCTTAGAGGCCCTTAATGACCTAAACTCACAAAAGGGAGCATTGAGACAATGGGAAATTATACAGACATAATAGTTTTAAACATGATCAATGTTGGGCTTCTCACGCTAGCATGAGAGAGACTGCGTGCAAAAGCTTAAGCAGCAGTGAGTATGTGCCTGTCGATCAGCATGTGCTTGGGGAAGGTGCAGAAGGAGTACGGTTGTCTTCTTGCAATTGCAACTAACAATTGTTGAATGTCCTGTGTGTATCCTAGGCTTTGCAGCCTCCTTGTGGTTTAATTCAATCCTATCAGGTTGGTGCTATTATCCTCACTGAGTCAGTGTGGAGGCCAGCCCACGGGAGACAGAGCTGGTCTTCCTGGTTCCAGAAACCATGTTCTTTCCATTTCGCTTTGCTACCTTCCAGCAAGTCTTCCCACCCAGACCTCTTCCTTCCCTTGAAGGGCTACAGCTGGCCCTGTAAGACACGGAGCAGCCTCTTTGCAGGTCATAGCAGCTCAGAGACCAATGATGGGCTGGTACTTCTCCACTCATCTCACATTATTCGACTGCCAAAGGCCTATGCTTATGGGAGAGGCAGGAGCAAAGGTGATAAATATTTCACCAAAAAACCTAATGCATTCCTTAGCACTGTCCTTTATAAAACCCTGAAACCTTATTACAGTGATGAAGATAGCATGCACGTCAGAGTGGAAGGAACTTGGGTATCAGACAGGGGATTCAAGTTCCAGCTCAGCTGCATTCTAGCTATGTGATTTTGCAGTTAATTTCCCTTGAGTCTTAAATTCTGTAAGATGGCATAATACTAGAAATAAAGTTCTTATAAGAATTAATCATAAACACACACACACAGTATTTTACATGCTCAGTAATTGGTGGTGGTGGTAGCAATGGTAACGGTTACTATCTTAGCCCAACTTCTTCATAAAAGGAGTGCAGGGTAGAGAGTCAGTAATGAAAGGGCCGTTATCAAATGTACTAATAGAATATTTTATCAAAAGTACTATCACATTTCTACAACTGATACACATAAACCAAATTAATATTCACAGATATGACCTGATTTTAAAAACTAATTGGCCACCATGTAGTTTCAAGATGGCAGATGGAACCTCAAATAAAAGTTAGAGTGACCCTGTATAGGAATACACTAACTTTGTTAAAGAAAAACAAAATCACAGAAAGCTCAGTGGCTCATGCCTGTAATCCCAGCACTTTGGGAAGCTGAGGCAGGAGAATTGCTTGAGGCCAGGAATTCAAGACGAGCTGGCAACATAGCGAGACCCTGTCTCTACAATAAACAAGAAAAATTAGCCAGGCATGGTGGTGCACACCTATTGTCCCAGTTGCTCCGGAGGCTGAGAGGCAGGATGATTGATTGAGTCAAGGAGTGTGAAGCTGCAGTGAGCTATGATCATGCCACTGTACTCCAGCCTGGGTGACAGAGCAAGACCTTGTCACTTCAAAAAAAATCAAGTTTTTGCCTGGACTCATATTTCTAGGAAACTAAAGCATCTTGCAAAACCATCTTGAAACTATTTACCTCCTCCCCAGAAGCTTGTACATTTTGTTCTTATCTTACAGTTGAATAAACTGAGGCTAGAAGTAGGATCTCCCTCCCTCAAATTGCAATGAAACACACACAAGTGAAGCTGAGTCTCTACACTATCCACCTTCTAAGCAGCACATGCAATTGGAGTAAGGATCTTTTAGGTCGGCCAGGCCCCCAGCCCCTCTTTCCTGGAGAGCTGCCCACCATCCACCCAGGGGAGCTATGCCCCTTCATGCCCCAACAACTGAGCCCAGCTTCATATCCCAGCTTCAATGATGGGTCTCAAACTGAGCAACAATTTCCTCTCCTGGGAATCTGCGGCCCAAAGGGTCTTGAATTCCTGAGGGCCTTGCACTCTGCAGGCCTCCACTCACATGCTCTGTGGTTGCCGTCTTCAATTCTTAATATTTTTATCTGGGTTTTATAGGGAAGTCTGAAGGGACAACAGAGCATGCACCAGGGTCTGGAGCCTCCACTCACTTGTGCTCTTGTTTCCCACCACATCCTGGGAGGGGTTTTCAGGCACCCACTCCTCTGCCCTGGTGCCTGGGCCCCACCACTCATGTCACCCTACTCCCAAGGGGACAGGGTCATATTGGTGGGGGCCTAGTTGCTGCTGCAGGGAGAGGTGGGGGTAGGCACATATCCTGCAGCATCGTGGGGAGAGGCATGCTGGCAGTCACCCTGTACCCCTGGACAGGCAGCACTGTGGTGCATTTGCTAGTGATTCACCAGGTGCTCCCACCACCCCCAATCTACATACCAAGAGTGACCCAGTGCAATGGTTGCAATCTCTTGGGGTTACCTGCCCACCATAGGTTGCAATGGCAGACGGGTGGGAAGGGAAGATGGACACCCCCAGCCCAGCAGGTGACCACATTTGCATTCTGCACTGGGCCCTGCAAATTATGAAGCCCATTCCGTCTGCTGGTCACTTCATCTGCGGACACGCCAACCTGACATCTGTGAGGCTGAGGCCTGCTCAAATGGTGGGAGGGAGAAGAAAAGAAAACCAGCTTGCACTTGCATTGTTTGTCTTTCTAAGTGACTGTTCTTCCTGGACTTCATCTCAAAGTACCCTCATCCCCTGACAAATGCCTGACTCCAGAAGGATCTGAGTAAATGCTTACAGCTGAGCAGGGGTAATGGGGCTGCACATAACAGAGCTGGAGAAGACTCAAAGGCTTCAAAGCCAAAAAAAAAGTTACAATAAACAGTAGCCACCTAGGAAATGACTTAGGACTTGGACCTGGGCCCGCTGTTACTTAATGCATCCTCCCCGACCCCGTAAATGAACTTAGACATGGAATAAATAGCACTTTAACGAAGTGGCAGAGGAATCTGGAAGTGAACAAACCCCAGCTAACATGTCTGGTTTTTTTTTTTTTTTCCTATGAAATAGAAAAATGGGCTGCAAACAGAAAAATGAGGCTTAGCTAGGAAGAATGCAAACAAGGATGTCTGGGGAGAGGCATCCCAAGCCGCCCAGTCTTTAGCGGGTAGGAAAGACTCAGCTCATCCCAGCTCATCATGGAGGGAGGACTGGAATAGGCGGGGAGAGCAGAGGACAGGGTGGGCGTTCGTGGTGTGGGGCCTGCCGATGGCATATGCCTCCTGCCAAGCAGGCACCTCCCCTACCCAGACAGAGGAGCCCACAGAAAACTGGTCACCAAGAAGGGTAACCTCATCTCCCCAGTGGGCATAACTTTCCACACAGTTCTGTAGACGCTAAGGCTGCTTGCTACCATCATGTCTAACGCTTCAGCAGTAATGATGATAATGATAGTAAGAATGTCAGTAGAGTCCGTTACTGGTTTTTACTGTGTCAGCCACTGTCTTAGACTCTTTTCATGCACTGTCACATTTTATCTTTGCCACAAATCTGTCTCCTTTTTATAAATGAGGAAACTGAGGTTCAGAGAAACAACTAGCAAACGTGAGATCAGAATTTGCACCCAGGTTGGTCTGAATCCCAAACGCATATCTTTCCCCTGTTACATTCCTCTGGTTTACTTTGGCAATAATAATAAAAATACTAAGATACACATTATCATTTGTTTCAGTAATCCTGAAACTCCTCCTCTCTGGGCTTTTTGCTGTGTACCAAGCATTTTGTATATGTCATCTCACTTAGTAAGCTCATCAACCTTATGAAATAGCTACTATGATTACAACTGGATTACTACTAAGAAAATAGGTTCAGAGAGGTAAAGCACTAAGCCTGAGGTCACACAGCTAATAAGTGTTCTAGCAAGGATCATAACCCAGTCCTACCTGGCCAAAAAGCTGGTTGCCTTTAGCCACCATGCTCTCCTGCCCTTGGAGAGGTTTCTTATGTCCCTGCCCACAAGAGAAAGGAGATGGGATCCATTTCAGGTTTAGATCCTGGGAGCAGCTGTCTTGGCAATCTCAGGCCAGGTAACTAGGTTCTACCACAGGCTTCCATCCAGCTGGGCCTTCCTCTCCACTGTCCATGTTCAACATCGAGCATGGGAACACCTGGTTCCCACGTGGATTCCACTCCCAAATGAGACACTCTTTCCTACCGCAGAGGGGCAGAGCTGTGTTGCTCTGCCTACCAAGAACCTCCGTTAACCAATTTCACTCCAAGCATTTGATTCCAGTGATATCAATGTCTTCCAAGGTTCCTGTTGTTGGCATGAACCCAGGGATGAAAATCATGGGCCACCTCCATCTTTTTTCCCTCCGTGACTCCAAAAGGCCAGCCAACACCACTAATGATGTCTACCTCTCCTGTGAGCTGGATGCCTTCCTCATAAGCAACCAAACGTCTTATAAACACAACTCGCCCCTGGGGCCAGAGAGTTCCTAATAAACCAATCTTGGTAATGTGGGTGTGATGAGACTAGAGAAAAATCCCCAGATGGAGACTGAAGCAGCTTAGAAACTCAGTACTAATGCTACTTCTTCATTTAGCACCATTTCAGTGATAATTAAAGGGTGAATTATAGCTTGAAAGAAATTTTTGCACTGGGCACGGTGGCTCATGCCTGTAATCACAGCGCTTTGGCAGGCCAAGGCAGGAGGATCACTTGAGGCCAGGAGTTTGAGACCAGCCTGGGAAACCTAAGAAGACTCCATCCCTACAAAAATAAAAGCTAAAAAGTAGCCAAACACG